AAGGCTAGGATGGGAACTGGAAAGAGAGAGACCAATTTCCTTTCTAAAGCTGGTCCTTTCCCTTCCCGTACAGTAGATCACATCCCAAGCTTTGCTTTTATCTGAACAGCTCTTTCTAAGTACAGGTAGTCCTTGACTCACAAACCATTTATTTAGCAAACGTTCGAAGTTACAACAGCCCTGAAAAAAAGGGACTCGTGACCAGTTTTCACACATCCATGGCAGCATCCTTCGTGACCGAAACGTGGAGGCTTGGCAACCGATTCATATTTATGAGGGTTGCATTGTTCTGGGATCATGTGATCCCCTTTTACCAACCTTCTGACAAGTCAGTGGACAAGCCAGATTCACTTCACAAGTATGTTAGTAACTTAACAGCCGCAGTGATTCACTGAAGAACGTGGCAAGAAAAGTGGCAAAGTGGGCCAAAACTCACTTAACGGCTGTGTGTCGTGTTTTAAATGTGTGTTGCGTAAGTAAGAAACACTTGAGAGCAAGCGGCTAAATTTTATTTTTAATGGGTGCCGTTGTGCCCACAGGGAAAAAAAAATGACAATAAAGGTTATCTAATCTAAAAAAAATAAAATCTAATGTAATCTTATTTAGCAACAGAAAGATTGAGGCTCAGTTGTGGTCGTACGTTGAGGACAACCCGTAGTTTAGATTTCTGTCTTTCGCTACAGATCAGGCAGAAGAAAAGAGGAAACAAGTTCATTGGGGAAAAAAATGGAAATTTCCTGGATCAAATATAGGCACGAGCCGTTCTAGGCCCCTTTCTGATTGTTGGGTGTTTGTTCTCCCGAAGGTCAACCATAATCTCCCGGAGAAGATAGTGATTTATAGAGATGGCGTTTCCGATGGCCAGCTGAAAATAGTAGAAAGCTATGAAATCCCACAGCTGGAGAAATGCTTCGAAGCTTTTAACAACTACAACCCTAAAATGGCGGTGTTTGTGGTCCAGAAACAAATCAGCACCAACATCTATTCTCCAGTTGCTCAACAACTTTCCACTCCTCCTCCAGGGACAGTGTTAGACCACACAGCCACCTCGCGAGACTGGTGAGTGAAAAGCTTTCATCGGGCACTTCCCCCCTCCCCAGATCTCCCCCGTTGCCTTTTGGAACTGGGGAGTTTAAAGTCTTTGTGTTTTCTCCTTTCCTCCATGATAAAAAATAATAATAATTGAAAAAATAATAATAATTTCCTGTAGACCCAGCTTTGCAGTTAAATGCAAACACTGGAGGTTTTTAAGAAAAGATTGGACGACCATTTGTCTTAAATGATACAGGGCAGGGGTCTGCAACCTCGACAACTTTAAGACTTGTAGACTTGGAGGTCTTCTAGTCCAGCCCCCTGCTCAAGCAGGAGAATTTATACCATTTCAGACAAATGGCTGTCTAGTCTCTTCTTAAAAACTTCCAGTGTTGGAGCATTCACCGCTTCTGGAGGCAGGTTGTTCCACCGGTTAATTGTTCTAACTGTCAGGAAGTTTCTCCTTAGTTCTAGGTTGCTTCTCTCCTTGGTTAGTTTCCATCCGTTGCTTCTTGTCCTGCCTTTAGGCGCTTTGGAGAATAGCTTGACTCCCTCTTCTTTGGGGCAGCCCCTGAGATACTGGAAGACTGCTGTCATGTCCCCCCTCATCCTTCTCTTCGTTAAACTAGACATACCCAGTTCCAGCAGCCGTTCCTCATATGTTTTAGCCTCCAGTCCCCTGATCATCTTTGTTGCTCTTCTCTGTACTGTTTCCAGAGTCTCAGCATCTTTTTTACATCGTGGTGACCAAAGTTGAATAGAATTGATGGCCGGTACTCCGTGGAGTGATCATTCTTCCTTCTTTCTCCATGTACAACATGGGAAGCTGTGGCCCAGATTTAAAATGATCTCAAACCATTGGAACCCTTGTTTGGATTGTTCAGAGGTGTTCCCCTATCTTGGCTTGCCAACTTAATAACCGTTCACTTTTGTTCCAGGCCTCCATGTTGAAGGTTACAAAGAATTAGACTTCATTCTTTCTCTGTCGACAATGAAGTTGATAAGAGGTTCAACTCTGCTCTTTTTCCCTTTTGGTTCTTTCTTGTTAGGGTGGATTTTTACTTGATAGCTCACTACTCACCACAAGGCTGTGGCATCCCAACTCACTACGTCTGCGTAAGGAATACAGCCAATCTCACTCCCGATCACATGCAGAGGTGAGAGTGTATGTTATCGCTCGGTTTCAGATGTTGTTTTCCCATTGAACAGGAGGCAGAATATGAATCTAATGAATACATAAAGCAGGAAGTACTGAATACAAAAAATGGATGTTTTTTTGAGGGGGAAGGACAGTAATTATGAATGTTATGATTTCGTTTCGTGGGTTTTTTTTTTTCTATTTTCTACATGGTGTGTACAGCTTTGCTTCCTACTCAGTACAGCAGTGAGAATGGAAGGGGAGAGAAACTGAGGACTTTCTTGTTTCCTGGTTTAAAAAGCAATTGCCTGGGAGGTGGTCCTCCAGTTGTGCTATGCCAGGGGTCAGCAACCTTGGCTCTTTTATGACTCGTGGACTTCAACTCCCAGAATTCCTGAGCCAGCCATGCTGAGGGAAAAGGGAGAGGTTTCCAAGCTGAGCCGTGCTGGCTCAGGAATTCTGGGAGTTGAAGTCCACGAGTCATGAAGGGGCCAAAGTTTCCCTCATGCTGGCTGAGGAATTCTGGGAGTTGAAGTCCAGGAGTCATGAAGGGGCCAAAGTTTCCCTCATGCTGGCTCAGGAATTCTGGGAGTTGAAGTCCACGAGTCATGAAGGGGCCAAAGTTTTCCTCATGCTGGCTCAGGAATTCTGGGAGTTGAAGTCCACGAGTCATGAAGGGGCCAAAGTTTCCCTCACGCTGGCTCAGGAATTCTGGGAGTTGAAGTCCACCAGTCATAAAAGAGCCAAGGTTGCCTACCCCTGTCAGCTACACCCTTGTTTGCAAGATGATGGGACGGCCCGAAACTGTCTGCTAGTTGCCTAATTTCCAGGGGCTTCCTTGCAGCTCTTTGGCCAATATTTTTTTCCTTTTAAGAGCTTGAAGCAGGACGAAGGTGTTTTATGTATCGTTTTCTTTCTGGATGGAGTGAAGAATTTCCTTTGCAAGAGGGCGAAGTAAATCCAAGACCTGAAGGGAAATCAACCAGTTTTCCCCTTGCAGCATTTAAGAATGAATACTAATTGGAATATATTGGAGATTAGGGACTTGTCAAGCGATAATAGAAATACCTTGTTGGGTCCAGGTTATAGAAGTAGGGCGTCTAACGAGGAATTTCCTTCTCACACTCCTGTTTTTTATTAGGCTGACTTTCAAACTTTGCCACCTCTACTGGAATTGGCCAGGAACTATCCGAGTGCCCGCCCCATGCAAATACGCGCATAAGCTGGCTTTTCTCTCTGGGCATATTCTCCACCACGAACCGTCCATTGAGCTGTGCGAGAAACTTTTCTTCCTGTAGCTTCTGCCATGGGCCGCCTTCAAAGGGAGAGCGCGAACGCCCTCGTCCGAGACAGAGCTGAGAAGGCATTGCCCAGTTCCAGCCCTTCCCGGTTTCAGACCACTCTCCTCCGCCCCGCAACTGGGCACTCTGTTTTATAATAATGTTTATTTGGTCAATGACCAGGGGGAAAAAAAAAGTTTTTAAAAAAATGACACCGCCGTAGTAAAATAGAAAAGATGAAGCAAACAACCAAAAAGATAAAAAAAATGTGACTGCTATAGCAGTACATTAATTCCTTGTACAAGTGTACCTCTGTCGCAGGGCACACTATGCAGTAAAATATATACCATCTTTAAACAAGATAAGCTAGTACCGGTCTGTGTTACATCTAAAATGGTAAATAAAACAAAAAATATATATTTCCATAACCAGTTACGCCTTATTTTCCTTGCGGCAAGACAGAATTTGGCTATCGCATAGGTGATAACAGGTTTCAAATCTTGTAGAAGATGGTTCATAGATGGAACAGCCCGTTGACTTCAGTCTGAAATGCCATATCCCTTATTCCAGTGGTTCTCGACCTTTTTTCTTCACCACGGACCCCCATAAATACCTTTTGTGGCCATGGGCCCCCCCATGTGTTAACTCAAGATTTAAATCATTTCTTCAAACCTTTGTGGACACCCTCTGTGATGCCATCATGCCTCCCAGGGGGCCATGGACCATAGGTTGAGAACCACTTCCTTATTCATCGAGCAGCTGTTTGGCTTGGTCATATCTTCAATTAGGAGTGGCACAAAAAGCTCATATCGTGCCAACCTCCGCTCTGTGAACTGTTTCCAGAAAGGAGGGGAATTATTAAAACCAAAAGGGTTACTCCGACTGGAAAGAATTGGATTTTCAGCCAATCGTTTATCCTCCTCTTCCAAAGCCTTACCTGGATCGTGGCATTCCTGTCTCAAGCCTTAACTGTATGTTTGCTGTTCCATTGGGCACAACAAGAATGGATCTCAAAAGTTTTTCTTGCATTGTACCTTTCTGTCCTATAAAGGATGGGTTGGTTTAGCCTGAAAAAGTTTTAATGCTGCCGGGATTGTCTTCTGATGGTATAAAACACGGGTGTCAAACTCGTCGCATCGCGTGACGTGTCGTGACGTATTGTGACTTATTTCGCATTGCCGGAGCTGGGGTGGGCACAGCCTCTGCATGATGCAACCGGCCCATTGGCTGGCAGTTTGACACTCCTGGTATAAAACATCAACCTAAAACAGGGGTAGTTAACCTTGGCTCTTTTATGACTCGTGGACTTCAACTCAGGAATTCTGGGAATTGAAGTCCACGAGTCATAAAAGAGCCAAGGTTGACTACCCCTGACCTAAAACATCAACAACCTAAGACGGGTGGGGAACTATGGCCCTTTTATGACTTGTGGACTTCAACTCCCAGAATTCCTGAGCCAGCTCAGGAATTCCGGGAGTTGAAATCCACAAGTCAGAAAGGGGTCTGGGTTCCCCACCTCCGGCCTAAGAGCTAGCTGCACTATATAATTTCTGATGCGCTTCCAAGTGCCTTCACGGCTCAAGGCATTCAAATACAGTAACCTGTTCTAACTTGTGTCCCCCTATTCTCCAGGATTGTTGGATGGATCTCTTAGTGAGTATCAGAATTTTAGACCTATCAGAATTAAGAACCAGGGGATTTTGTCTGCAGTCCAAAAACATTGCTGCTGTTGCTCTTTTTCTGCCTTCGAAGGGTTTGTGAAATTATGACAGCAGCAGCAACGTAGAGGAATGGAGGGAATCTGCACCCTGCTAGTTTAGGTGCATCAAAGCCTGGATTATGAAGGTGCATCGTTGAACTAAAATGCGAGTTGAAAGAAGAGGAGACGAGAATACATCCAAGTCTCACTCCTTTCTGAACATTTACTGTGCCAGAGAGGGACCCTTAGATATTGGACCTCACTCTTAAAGTGGTGGTGTAGTATAATTTCTTTGTCAGAAAGCGGAGAGACTGCTCATTATTTATATTGTTTGCATAGCTGGAAATTGAGTCAAAGGCATGTTTAAAATCTACAGCGGCCACGACGAGGGAGGATTTCTTTTTTTGAGTGTATTTTTGTACAAAATGGTGGAGCACCAAACGGTGGCTTGTCGTTGACCTCTAAATCCAGAGCTAAATCAATGACCTTGGCTGCTCATCTCGCATTATGCCCTCTGTCTCTATCCAGTCTTGGAGCTTGAGATGTCATATGTTTAGCAAATTGCTAATAACGCTCACAAAATGACCGGTAATTGTTCTTATTGACCTTTTTGTAAATTTGGGGCTATTATTTCCGGCCCCCAATCTTTCTGAGACATAACCAGTATGATCTATGAATGTAGATAAGGATGCTAGCAGTGGCACCCGCCAGTTAGGATTATTTTTAATTACTTTAGGCAAAAAATTAGACAATACCTTGTTTACCTTAAGGCAGGGGTGTCAAACTGCCGGCCCGCGGGCCGGACGCGTCATCCGGAAGCCGCGCCCACCCCATTGCTGGTAATGGCAAAACCGTCCCGATACGTTGCGCGATGTCACGTGACGTCGCGAGTTTGACATGTCTGCATTAAGGGGTGCAGTCACAGTGAATAAGCGCAGGCAGCCTTTTGTCAATAGGGAGATGTCTCTGACTGTCGCACAGACTCACTTGGCATTAGGTCAAAAGCTGACTTTAAAAAAAATCCACAACGGTCGCAAAAAGGGAACCATAAGGAGGCGAGGAATATGTTTCTGCCAAGTGGCGGAGAACCCAATAACGATCTAATATCGATCGTTCCTTTCCAAAGTCGGCCTGTTCTTCCACAACGATACTTTCATTTGGTACCCGCCCGACTAATTTTAGATATAAAATCTGGCACAAAGTGTGTTTATTGTGTGTGATAAAAGTAACAGGCCCATAATTTGCAGAGTCAGATCTGTTTAGTTTTGTATAATGGTTTTGTATAATGGTTTTACTATTGCATAAAATTCTTCTCTTGCCCAAAAAAAAAAAAAAAAAAAGCTCGTATGTGAATGGAAATTGTAGCTTATGGTCCATTCGACTTCTGTTTGCTGAGTCAGTCATTGAAATCCTTTGTCTAAATGTGGTGACCTTTTGCATTGAACACCCAAATATGGCCTTCTGTGCTTACCCCACGGCAGGAGGCCAACATTGCGTATATAACCTTTTCTGGACTGGAACATGCTAGTCTAGTTTCCCTGATATTGGTATCTAGAACTGTAGTTCTTCGTGCTGTTAATAATTTATCTTCTCTGCTAGCACTGAAATCTCCTGATACGCTTATTCAGCTTTATTACCCAATTCCTCCATGATTTGTCTGTACTTTGTCCAAGTCTACCAAATGAAGTATTCAAACAGTTGCTTCTTTTTTTTTTTTGAAGAAAGACATAAGCTGTGTGTGGTCTGAAAGCTTCCTAGAAAAGCAGAGTGTTTCTTTACAGGATTTGAGATGAAGGGTGTATCTGCCGCCTTATAGTTCATGCCTGTTTGTACCTCCTGATACTGTACTTGTATATTTCTCAATAAAGTAGATATTTGAAAGCTGAACTCAAGTTTCCAGGGTTCTCTCATCCCAGATTCCTTCCCTTAAATCTATCGGTTCCCCACTGACCTTCTTGCAGCTTTGGGAACACATATATACCTGCTGAACTTAAATGAATTATTTGTGGATGGATGTTTTCAAATTGGTCATAGAGGAGTTGTATTTATTTATTAAATTTGTACACCATCTCTCTCTCTCTCTCTACCATGTGACTCTGGATTAAGAATTAAGCTCTTGATATTTTTCAGTGTGATTACCTGACATCTTTTTTTGGGGCATGATGATAGAAAGGATTCTGGAATTTAGGAAAGCACAAAATGCAGTTTGTAATGCCCTCTACTTGGACTTCAGAACCTCATTTTTACACATAAAGCTTTCTAGGCATGCTTCAGAGACAGAGACAGAGATCTGTTGAGCCAACCCAAAATAGGTTGTGAAAAGTTTTGGGAAATGACCCCAGCAGCTGGCTGGAAGGGACACATTGTCTCCTGCTCCAAAATATATTGCCTCATCTACCTAGGTCACCATGCTTTTGGCATAACTGAGTGATGAAGCCCATTTTTCATGCACAAAAACCTGTGCCCGCTCTCCAACTAAAGTGTCCCTGGGAATTGGACTGGAAAAAGGAAGCTGTACTATCTTACTGAAATGTTAGAAGCTGCAGATGTTAACAGGGTTAGGGTTAGAGTTGAATTATTTTTCTAATGAATACCTTTTAAACACCCCAGCCATGCTGAGCCATATTTCAGTTGAATAAGAATCTGATCTTTTCATAGACATCCATTTCTTTGTCCTTCTCATAGCTGTCATTTTTGATGCCATCTCTGTCTTGTCAAGTAAAACATGTTTCTTATCTGCCATTTTGTTCATTACATCTGTACAGTCTACCCATAGAAGCAACCATCTCTATCAGCATAGTGGATATTAACTTCTGATTCTGTTTTTCAGAAGAGCCCTTCAGTGTTTTCAATGTTAACGATGTTTTGTGCCATTTTATATGTCCTAATTCATTAGCTGTTAATCAGGCTTGTATATTTTTCTTCATTAACTAAAGTCTTTCGTTCTCTCTGGTGTCTAATTTTCAAACTGTCTACCTGTCATGTCTTTATCCAAATAAATATAGGGCTGGGGCTATTCAGAGTTCACGTTTTGTTTTTCCTTTCGGTGAAAGGGTTGCAACTAGTCAGAGACCCTAAATCTCTTAACTCTTTAGCATCCTCCAAATAGATGAATTGTGTTTCCACGGCTGGTGATAAGCCGTGAAGGTAAGTGACTTACCTGGAAAGGCACGGGAGCGCTTAAAAAAAACCCTCTTTGCGAGTTCAGTTTCCCAGCCAAAAGCTTGATTAGTTGACGTGCGCATGTTAACAAACAGAATTTCCATCCAGCAAACACTTCTAGGTGGCAAGAGTAAGTACAGATTGTGCCACAGGTGGG